AACATGCTAGCATTGTTTAAGTATAGAGCCTATACATCCTTAAACGACATTCCTCATATTATAACATGATTGTTATAATTGTTTAACGTGATTTCAAATGCTCATTGTTAGATCGCTGAAGGAAACGCTGCCTCTTTTTGGCGAATCTTTAGCGACGGTCTTCGAACATCAGGATCGAAGAAATCCCAATGTTATTATTCGGATCACTCGGCTCGAGTGGACCGCACAGTTTTCGAATAATAAGAAAACCGCCGGAAGTCAGCAGTATTTTACGCAGAGCCGACCTTCTGCGGATAATGCCGAGGAGATTTATGTATACCAACCTCTTCCGGTCTTTCTGTCCCAATCCGTTGCCATTTCTATCCACGCGAAACACCAATGCCAAAGAAATCCCGATTATCATAACGCACAATGTGCACGACGAATGCTCGAAATTATTTATGAGAGTCCGCAAATCGAGAGATTGTTCGCATTGCGTAGGGGAATTCTTCAGTCCCTGTCAAAGATTATTGAAGTAAAAGTCTTTCAATATACAAATAGATTGCATACTCTAGTGATAAAGATTATACTAACTATAATAGATTATTAGGAAACGATTATTTGAGATTACTGTCTCGAGATTCCTTGCAGGAATTCATAGAGACACGTGAAGAAAATGAATATTTACGGAAAATTATGTAGATAATAATGCAAGAAATGTAGTGTAAATTGTAAAAAGTTAATAAATCTTTAATTGATGGATATGACTTAATTCTGTTCTCTTCAGTAATTAAAGTTGAACCACTTCTTTCAAGATCTTTGTTTATTTTTCTTTTGTTTAATAATAATAACAGCTACTGCTGGAGCTTCTTTTAATTGTCTGTGTACCACCCAAGTTCGTCTACGAAATTGAGAAGAGAATCTAAGTGATCGTAAAGATTGTATTATTTATGGCTGCACAAGCAAAAGAGAGAACAAGATATATCGTTTGTTAGTACTGATGTAGAAAACGATCTAATCTTAGAAGCGAGGCTATTTTCAGAAAATTGTAACGTTACAAATGTTATCAGTACTTCGACAATCGATATCGAGGCCGTAAAACAACTTGGCAATTCCACGCGAGAATCTTGTCTAACCGTTCAATCTGTCGAAATGCACGCGTTCGAGAATTACCGTACCGAGCGCTCTTCTCAGTCGCAAGAGATTTTACGAGCAATATAACCCTTGCCTGCGTGGCACGGAGCGATTGGAAGTCGCGAACTGATTAAAGTACTTTTCACGATTTTCTTTTCCAGACTTACAACATGGACGCCCAAGTTGGAGAGTCGTCGGCTTGCGCGACGGCGTTACTCTGCGGGGTTAAAGCCAATTACGAAACCGTCGGTCTGGACTCTTCCGCACGCTTCGAGAATTGTTATTCCAGTTCTGATGCCCGTGTACCATCCCTTATCAATTGGGCGCAGGAGCAGGGTAAGTGAATAGGTGAAATAATTAAAATCATAGTAAAGTTCTCCTCCCTATTCAATCGGAATTTAATTGTCAACGTTACTTGATTTCATTCACGATCGAATCTTTCAGTTGATTTCCTACGACCTCGTAAATTTTATCGTCTTACTAATTTGCAGTCATTAATGATAAATGATTTTGCGAGGATAAATGCGGTCGGAAAGTGATTACAAGATAATTAAAAGATGTGTGTAGTTAGAGAAGTTATTGCGTAGACGCAGTGCTAACTCGAATTCCAACAACGTGACCACGACATTTACGACCATAAGATACGAGAGTTATTTTCCCACGTGTTCTTATGCACCGTGTTTTTACGGTAAATAAGAATGGAATGGGGAAAATTTCTGATGTAAATTTTCTCTGTGCGTGAAATTTGGGTTTCCTCTGAATTTTACCTAAAAATGAGTTTGTACAATTATACACGTTTCATGCATCGCATGTTTGCAAAAGAAATTTTTCTACAATTTATTTCTAATCAAATTCTTTTGATCTTTAGAATAATTAAAATTGTTAATAATCGAAATATCTGTAAACTTAATTTCTGTTATAATTCTTTTAGAAATGTAATTTCAAAATTAAGTAAATTTGAATTTTCTAAAAATATTACTCGCGAAAATTTCACCGGTCCACGAATGTTGCTGCAAAAGTCACGTATATACCTTCTATTTCGATATCTATGATATTCATCGGATATCGGCTTAAGCTACAGCTCCCGCTGGGCTATTCGATTATAACCCGTTCTCATTAGAATGGTGTCGACCAATTAACAGGATTTCTTCCGTGCACTTGTACAATTACTATTGAAATGTGCAACGTGTGAATTGAGTTTTGTCGTCAGCAATACAAACTCGTTATAACGTTTCTGTTTTTGTTCACTTGTTCTTTAGTCTCTAGTCTGGTACCATAACTCTTTTCACGTAGTCATTATGTATAGACTAATCATCTTTTCTATGAAAATTTATAACAAGGAACCATCGAAACAGCAAATTTTTTGCAAAAGAGTTGCTTTTCCCTCAAATACTTCTAAACCATTGGACTTACGCGAAAATTGCATGCGATGTTAATTATAGCTACAACTTTTGTTGGAAATATTTTACGCTAACGTCGATAATTAACGAGTAATTGACAAAAAACTATAAAAGGGTTCCTGCAAATTACTCGTTAATTATTGACGTTAATGAAAAATGTTTCAGACGCAACTTGTAGTTCTTAACGGTGTCTACAACTTCCGTTGGAAACATTTTTTACTAGCGGCAACAGGTAAGCAGTTATTTGTAATAAACGAAAATTTCGAAAAATCTGAAGGGATTCCTTGTCGGAAATCTCGGAAAAAAAATCTTTTTCTCAAAATTTCGAAAAATGCTTCAAATAAAAGTTATAAGTATTCTTATTACCTGAAAAAAAGATCGTATATAATTTCCTTCGATCTCGAATATTTCAGGACTAATTGATTAATTAGTTCGTTCATCGTCAATCACTCCTTAACGAGTAAATTATATGATCGGTCATCAACGATTGTTTTAATTTGTATTTTTTATTTCGGTGGCAATATATATTCTAGAAGGCATCAAAAATTGCATACTATTTCGCACGACACGAAGTCCCATAAGGCTGTCACTCTTCAGTAATCTCTCCTCGGTGAAGTAACCGAAAACGGTAACGGTCGATAAAATGAGTTTAAGTAAGTGAACCTGAAAATGACTCGGCCTGAGGCAAACTCTCCTCGACTAAGGCCATCGCGAAGACAACGGGCTTACGTACCATGTAACGAGGCTGCGCACGTGTGTACATCGAGAGTAGTAATAAACACGTTGCGCATAGCCGCTTTCACGCCAGCACCTACAGAAGTCTGACTGCGTTTACGTTACGAGCACGAAAGCGCAAGCTGCCTCAGGCTCGATCATTAAGGTGAATTGGCTGGTTGATTAATCGCGCGCCGTTTGTCGTTGACACGCGTTCTCCGCATCGTCGTCAAAGTGCAAACACGAGAAGTAGCAGCCTTCTGGCCCATTTACCGCCCCCGATTTGTCAATTTACAATTATTTGTCTGTACTTCCGATCGCGCCTCGCCTTTGCTATATCGACTGTCGAGAAATTACACGATGTTTAGAGGGCTAGAGTAGTTTACCTAGTGTTCAGGAAATTAATCGAGTATTCTGAAGTCTCGGAGACTTGCTCCCTTGTTGGGAGTGTTTAAGTTTGCTTCAGCTTCACTTTCGCTGATCATGAATCATATATAATCGGTGTGGATCATTGTACATAATATCTACGATTTAGACCTTCACGCACATAGTATGAGCCATTGCTTGAATTGTCGTAAAATTTCATTCATTTGAAAGATGCAGGACAGTTTACTTAGTCAACGTTGAAGCAGTTGATTGAGAGTCATGGAATTTTAGGTACTCTCGGTGGTACTATTTTTCTTTATGTTATGATGTCTCTTCCACTGACTATCAGTTGACAATGGGACATCCGGGGGAAGTGTAATAAATGGGAAATATTGAACAATTTATAGTATAATATAAATAAAAAGTGGAACTGTCGATTTTATGTATTTATAAAAAAATTGGATGTACAGAAAATATATAGAAAACACATAATTTGCAAAAACGTGCAGAATATCGAAAGTATAATACATATTATCATCTTTAAATGATGAACCTCGATTTAGATTTCATTTCTTAAGTTGATACCAGAAAATAAAAATTTTCAGTCTAATAAAAAGGCTTTTAGAATTCATTAATGGTAGCTTATGATAACGTGCTTAAATAATTGAAGAAGTCGATATGATGGTAACATTATGGAAAACCAAAATGGTGTTTGGTTTCTAATTTAAATAGAAGAGCTATTGGAGTTATGAATAGGGACAAATAGAATTTGAGTTGATTTATGATTCATAGTTTCTAACCATGGATCGACTTCTCGACTAATGTGGAGAGGATATGTAGATAATGGAAGTCCAACATTTGGGAATTGTTGGCTTTAACAAGAGAGCAACCATCAAATTCATGATATGTCTGCATCACAGAAAAATTCGAACGATGTAATCTTCTATTTATAGAAACACATCATTAGTTTCAATCGTCAACAAATTACTCTGATCTGTGACAACAAGCGAGAAAATGAAATAACTTCAAAATTGCTCTAATTGCTTCTAAACAAATATCGAGTTAACGTTTAATTATAACTGCACCCATAATTCGGTGAGCTACGTCAAATCGAGAGCCCATTTGGACGACAATTTTCGACGTATAAACATGCTGCCATCCGTCAAACAAACTTCTCGTCGGCCGAAAAATTGGATTCTCCCGTGACATCGATATCTCGTTAATTAACCCGCATTCGAGCACTATCCGCGGGATGAGAAAAACACGGCACGGCTCGCCGTCGAAAAATAGCTTCATCGACGCCAGTTTCATTGGCGCGTCGCGACGGTTTCAAGAGCGATCGCCGGTTTCGGTAAATAATTAACGGGAAATCAATTGAATCGATTATGCATTCGTTAAACGGAATATCGATTTTAGAAGGACGGGACACGCTTTTGTTCATAACGCAGCGAATTTTCAGACAGAAGTTCCGGCTGCGTTCGAGCGTAGATTTAGCGAGTCCCCGGGCCGAATCTGAAATTTGCAAATTCATCCGTCGAGTTTCCGGTGACGGCGCGGCAACCGGGAGGACATTTCGTCGAATGAACTTTATCCAATGACGACCGACTAACTCCTACGCCTCGGTCTGATCAATAATTCATTCGCATCATCGCAGCAACGGCGACGATGTCGAATCGGACGATCCTTCTCGCGTGCCGCCAGTCGAATTTAAATTTCGCGGATATTGCGACCGGGAATCACGTGGCCCGAAAATCCAGTACGAATCTCTTGAACAGGTGATAAACATTCGACGCATCTGTCTGCGGTTTATTGTTTCGGGACTCGGACGTCGCGACGGTTTCGCGTTTCTCACAGAAACACGTGACGGACGCTTCGCACTTTTTTCCCACGCGCAAGCTTTTCATCTTGCTGCCGGTTTTTCACGTTGCATTATCTATCGCGGCGAAAAGAGTGCCGCTGCATCTACGAAATTGTTCTTCGCGGGTACTGAAGAAAAGGACGCTTTCGATGGTGGAACGTGAGGTAGCAGAAACATCGTCTAAGAGAGGGCCTTAATGGAAAGCCTAGATATGTCGTGTGATTCTAAATGAGATTGTGCTGGCGCGAGTCGCGGCGGTAACTATGTCGCCCGTGTTTTATTGCCATAATATTTTTTAGTCGAAACGTCGACGTTTGGAGGAATAAAATCTCGAGTAATTCCGACTTAAGCGGATATCAGAGTTTACTATCAAACCGTGTATTTTTATACCGCCAGCTAGAGGGTTCAAAAGTATAGCTAATTCTTCATTAGAATATTTTCTTTATTATAATATGTTAACGAGAATCTACTGTTCTATGCTATGTAATGAAAATTTCTCGTGGCGTTGAAAATTCAGAACATGCTTCCGCAGTGAAACACGAAGAAGAAGCTCACTTCCGAAAATCAGAGCTCCTCACCTTTTGCCGACGTTCCGCTCCTATTTCTTTACTGGCTTACAAATCCCTGAAATACCTATTACCTCAGACAGCTGAAAACGCGCTCGTGTTACAAAACTGTTTCTTCCCGATTAGTTCGACGGAAAACACGAGAATCTTTTCGCCTGAAAGAAGGAAACGCGAATCCCGTCGTTCGACACGCGGCAAAGTTCAATTTCTACCTAAATAAATTCCATCTTAGCTTTATTTTAATTTACATGCAAACGTGTCGCTGCCAGTGTTTGTATGGAAATTACGCTTTATCTTATCGCCATCGTGTTGCTGGATTTAAAAATCTCGTGCAGTTGATGCATGCACACTTCTCTTGCAAAGAGCCACGTTACACAGAGAAGTACTGGCGTTCGTATCAAGTTTTTTTGTTTCTTGTGAATCCACCTTAGAGATATAGTGTTCTGCAAAATCGAACAATTTAAGTTTTAACGGCGTCTCTCGGTTTGATAAACGTCGAGAAAGAGACGTAGCCGAGAATTACGAATTCAACGGAAGGGACAAATAGAATTTGAGTTGATTTATGATTCATAGTTTCTAACCATGGATCGACTTCTCGACTAATGTGGAGAGGATATGTAGATAATGGAAGTCCAACATTTGGGAATTGTTGGCTTTAACAAGAGAGCAACCATCAAATTCATGATATGTCTGCATCACAGAAAAATTCGAACGATGTAATCTTCTATTTATAGAAACACATCATTAGTTTCAATCGTCAACAAATTACTCTGATCTGTGACAACAAGCGAGAAAATGAAATAACTTCAAAATTGCTCTAATTGCTTCTAAACAAATATCGAGTTAACGTTTAATTATAACTGCACCCATAATTCGGTGAGCTACGTCAAATCGAGAGCCCATTTGGACGACAATTTTCGACGTATAAACATGCTGCCATCCGTCAAACAAACTTCTCGTCGGCCGAAAAATTGGATTCTCCCGTGACATCGATATCTCGTTAATTAACCCGCATTCGAGCACTATCCGCGGGATGAGAAAAACACGGCACGGCTCGCCGTCGAAAAATAGCTTCATCGACGCCAGTTTCATTGGCGCGTCGCGACGGTTTCAAGAGCGATCGCCGGTTTCGGTAAATAATTAACGGGAAATCAATTGAATCGATTATGCATTCGTTAAACGGAATATCGATTTTAGAAGGACGGGACACGCTTTTGTTCATAACGCAGCGAATTTTCAGACAGAAGTTCCGGCTGCGTTCGAGCGTAGATTTAGCGAGTCCCCGGGCCGAATCTGAAATTTGCAAATTCATCCGTCGAGTTTCCGGTGACGGCGCGGCAACCGGGAGGACATTTCGTCGAATGAACTTTATCCAATGACGACCGACTAACTCCTACGCCTCGGTCTGATCAATAATTCATTCGCATCATCGCAGCAACGGCGACGATGTCGAATCGGACGATCCTTCTCGCGTGCCGCCAGTCGAATTTAAATTTCGCGGATATTGCGACCGGGAATCACGTGGCCCGAAAATCCAGTACGAATCTCTTGAACAGGTGATAAACATTCGACGCATCTGTCTGCGGTTTATTGTTTCGGGACTCGGACGTCGCGACGGTTTCGCGTTTCTCACAGAAACACGTGACGGACGCTTCGCACTTTTTTCCCACGCGCAAGCTTTTCATCTTGCTGCCGGTTTTTCACGTTGCATTATCTATCGCGGCGAAAAGAGTGCCGCTGCATCTACGAAATTGTTCTTCGCGGGTACTGAAGAAAAGGACGCTTTCGATGGTGGAACGTGAGGTAGCAGAAACATCGTCTAAGAGAGGGCCTTAATGGAAAGCCTAGATATGTCGTGTGATTCTAAATGAGATTGTGCTGGCGCGAGTCGCGGCGGTAACTATGTCGCCCGTGTTTTATTGCCATAATATTTTTTAGTCGAAACGTCGACGTTTGGAGGAATAAAATCTCGAGTAATTCCGACTTAAGCGGATATCAGAGTTTACTATCAAACCGTGTATTTTTATACCGCCAGCTAGAGGGTTCAAAAGTATAGCTAATTCTTCATTAGAATATTTTCTTTATTATAATATGTTAACGAGAATCTACTGTTCTATGCTATGTAATGAAAATTTCTCGTGGCGTTGAAAATTCAGAACATGCTTCCGCAGTGAAACACGAAGAAGAAGCTCACTTCCGAAAATCAGAGCTCCTCACCTTTTGCCGACGTTCCGCTCCTATTTCTTTACTGGCTTACAAATCCCTGAAATACCTATTACCTCAGACAGCTGAAAACGCGCTCGTGTTACAAAACTGTTTCTTCCCGATTAGTTCGACGGAAAACACGAGAATCTTTTCGCCTGAAAGAAGGAAACGCGAATCCCGTCGTTCGACACGCGGCAAAGTTCAATTTCTACCTAAATAAATTCCATCTTAGCTTTATTTTAATTTACATGCAAACGTGTCGCTGCCAGTGTTTGTATGGAAATTACGCTTTATCTTATCGCCATCGTGTTGCTGGATTTAAAAATCTCGTGCAGTTGATGCATGCACACTTCTCTTGCAAAGAGCCACGTTACACAGAGAAGTACTGGCGTTCGTATCAAGTTTTTTGTTTCTTGTGAATCCACCTTAGAGATATAGTGTTCTGCAAAATCGAACAATTTAAGTTTTAACGGCGTCTCTCGGTTTGATAAACGTCGAGAAAGAGACGTAGCCGAGAATTACGAATTCAACGGGTTTCGCTCTTCAATGTCTTTAATTGTAGACAATTTGGAAGCAGATGCGGCGAAACAAAAACGTTGATTGCCAGTGGCGTTAATTAGGGGAGAAGGTTGAGAAAGTGTTGCATGGTTTTAACAGTTTTTTTTGCAGACTCGTTCTCATCCCATTAATTGCTGGAGATAAGCAAACGGAACGATCTCCGCTTAAACGATTTCGGAGCACGTTTCATTTCCTGATAATTGTCGTACACCAGGTTAAACGATTAAAAACGTAGCGGAGGCAAAATACGAAGACGCGTCTTTGGAATCGTGTTAGCCGAGTACCCGGCGTTGCGAATATTTCTCCAACAGCTAGGCCGACGTCACGACGGTTTACGGTAATGGAACCGGAGTGAGGCGAACGGAAATTGCTTAGGCGAACGGAACGAATGTAGTATTTCCAGAAAGTTCAAATAACAGAGGGGAAAAGCGAATGAAGGGGAAAAACGAAAAACACACAGAGAAACCAAAAAGTATCCTTTGCGTCAAGAAAATTTAGTTTTCGGTATTCGTTGGTCAAAAATAATCTCGAAACGTAATATTCCGAACCGCGTTTGAACTTTCCTCGATTCCACCGGAACAAAGAACGCAGCTCTGAAGAAAAAAGAATTTTCCAACGTTTAGCGGCAGTGCGGGAACTCTTAAAAATGAATTAGACTGCGATTGCTGCGGAACTTTATAATTTTTTCCCGTAAAAGCTCCCTGGTCGAATTACCGCGAAGAACGCAGGCAAATTTGCGTTCCCTCGCGAGAATTTCATCGTCGATCGATCGAAACTGAATCAAGGATGTAACACATTTTTTCTATGGTACAGCGTAGTCGTTCTCAAAAAGAAAGAACGAACTTTAGAAGTGACTGATCGCATGCCACCAACATGAATTTCCTTAACACTTGAAGAGATTTCTAATCGGTTCTTGAATAATAGAACGCGATGCAGTCGGTACGTTCATGCATTGTGCTGAATTATAATTGATAGCTAAGCTACCGGGATCAAAGGGTCAAGAGCGAGGCTATGATAAAGGGCGTACATCGACGCACTTGAGCCGATTAGTATCCAATCCGTCTCAACGCTAGTCCACTTAGCGTAATTGGTAATCCCGCGAGAACATAGATCTCTGCGTGCCAACTTAATTCGTTAACCTATCTACGGACACGGGATAAAGAGGGAAAGTGGCCGGGAGAGGAAGGAGCAGAGATAAATAGACAGAGGGACGGAGACTTTCATCGAATACCACTAAGAAGATTCTGCGAACATCCGCTTAATTAAAACACGATCCCCGCGCGACTCTCGCAGCGATGGTATCCCGGCAACGTCGCCGGAATTCATTTGCAACCGCATTTCCCTGGATCGCCTTCGATGAAAAAGTTGTCGGTCCGACGTTTTTCGACTATTTACTTCTCTTTTTCGCGGCCCCTGAACGAGGCGTTTTCTTGTCTACGTTCGCGACGCGACGAGGAAAAATTTTAATTAGAGAGGAAAGCTCGACGGGCGAACTTTTTTTATTAGGGGACGTTTGAAAATCGTTCAGAGTTAAAATTGCATGCGAACGTGGACGATTTATGGCGAGAAGAAACACAAATGTAATTAATTTAAATGGAATATACTATTTACTCTATTATACGCGATTTAAGTAGACTCGACTAAAATTTACGATTATGTTCTATGAAGTGAAGATTATTTAATATTCTGTTCTCCATCGGGAACCAGAACTACCTCGATGCCAATTAGGCGAGTTTCCACTACCCCGCTACTGATTTGAACTGACAATTAAACCTCTCTCGCTTCCATGCCATCGCCAAATCTTCACTGAGATAGAGAATGAACTGCAAATAGTAATTGGAAAGCAATGACCTACGGTGCCCTAGTCTATCATTTGTGGACATTAAAGAAGGACATTAAAGAAAGAACTAGAAGCCAAGACGAAAGCTCCAAGTTACTCAGGAGCCGTCAGTTCGTCAGCCCTCATTTAATGCATTAGTTAAAGGTCTCTCTTCTCTCTTAAAAATCTGTGAGAAAATTTACAGCCACAGGCATAGTTCTTAGTGCTGGCAAAAATAATGGTTTTTAAAAAGGGCTTTAGGGTACGGACTGTCTTAAAAAACAGTAGTTTACGAGCTCATATTTCAGCAGTGATGCAAGAATAATGGGACGACCAGCTTTGTCTTACGATTAATGCTACCATGGGATCCCACATTTTAACTGCATCAAAGTTGCTTTAAAGGCGAGCGGTTTAACCTTCCATTTTCTTCCCATCGACACCGACTACCGTCCATTACTGCAATAAAATTGTCGGCGGTCGCGTTCTCTTGAAAATATCAGTTGCATCATTCTAAGGAAATATTAACGTTGATAAGATTTCAATAATTCACATGAACAATTACATTTCGGTAGTATTTTATCAACTATATGTTTTATGGTGGTCGATTTTCTTTGCTCGCAGGTAAATCGACAGGATTGGTGACGACCACTAGGGTGACGCATGCGACGCCGGCAGCCCTTTACGCCCACGCAGCCAGTCGTTACTGGGAGGACGATGGCAAGGTGCCACCTGCTGCACGGATCAAATGCAAGGACATCGCGCGTCAGCTGCTCGAAGACGAGCCCGGTCGTAACATCAACGTACGAGAATTAATGTATTTCTATCGAACTCCCAAAACTTTCACCCAACTCACAGATATCAATGTCGACTTTTTTCCTACTAGTCCTGGTTGGATACATAGAGAAATTTTCGACGAAATATAAGCTTAGACATGCATAAGGAACACGGGATATATTTTTATATATGTAATACGGAATATACTATCGTGATTCGACTCGATTCGATGAACAGAATCCAGTGAAACGTTTGTTGGAAATTTCGAAGGATCATTCCTGGTTCTCCCTAGAGTGGATTTCGGTAGGGAGGATGGGATAAGCGTGACGCGGATTCGTTCCTTACTCGTAGGCCAATTATCGTTCTATCGTGCAACGGAGATTAAACTAGTCGTGTCTTTAAGGAAAATCTTCATCTGTTTTTTTTTCCTCGAAAGGCAAACCCAAATTTAGATCATTGATGTATTTCCGGAATTGTATTAAATGCAATCAACAATTTCGAGATGCAATCACTGCTAAATGCTTCGCATATCGTGATTGAAATATGTATACAATATGAATTAATTTACCAATGCGTTCTTCGTCGCGAAAATATGAATGTTTTCCCCTTTTCAGCCTTTACAAAACCGATGAGAATTGCAATTGCGTTACCACGCATGATGGAAACAGGCACGGCGCGTGGATCAAAAACACGGAAATTTTTAATATCTTGTATTATATTCGATTAAAATGCTGCATTGGGAATACACACCGAAAAATAATTTCGTGAATTCATGCACGGCAGAACGTACAAGTTGCTCGGCATTTAATAATATTCGACTGAGGGAAGAAATGTGAAAAAATTTAACATTAAAACGATGAGCACGTGAAACATAAAAGGAAAAAGCCAATATCGAGAAATTTTTATACAGCTATCTATAACAAGGTTTTACACTATACTCGAAATGAACAAAGAAACGAATCCAATTAAAATACAGTATGTAGCCGGAGAGCGGGCAATGATCATTGCCGTGTTCAGCATTCTGCTATGTACCAATATTAATAAATGACATTTAAGGACACGAGTCTGTACAATTTAACGTCAACTTAATTGAACCATTTAAAAACAAATTCAATATATCTGAAAACTCATTTTACCGCGAAATTCTGAAAATTTACTATATACATCCTCGTAATTCGTTCCCTACTTTATAATTCCATTTAAATGTGAAATGATCATCCCTCGCTCCCAATCACTTGAATCCTTAGTAGTTAAACCTGTCTCGAACGAAGTTTCGGCGGCTCTCGCCCGGAAACTTTCGTTTGCTCGTTAAAACCTTCACTAAGATAGGGTTCCCGTTCTATCTCGTAACAGAAGTTTCACTCGGATCGTCGTGCAGCGCCGCGAAGGTCTCGCGATGCACTCGATCTCGATAGGGTCGGTCACGATACTCGGAAGGACGTGCAATCGCGGAACGCGCGACTCGGTTCAATCATTGGGAAGTTCAGCGGGTCAATCGGTCTAGGAAATCCCCAGATGACATTTCCGTACTGGTGGGGAAAAAAGTTCGTGCCGGGAGAGCGGGGATCGCTTTTGTGTAGAACTTCCCATGCATAACTTCCCGCTCGATAAAGTCTGCTTAGTAGAAGTTCTCGAGAGAGTTTACTGGCCAGATAGAAGAGGAATTAAAGGTCCGTTGAGATGACTTCTCCGGCAAATTTAATGCTCCCCTCTCCCTACTTCGCGTTCGTCGATCGAATGGTATTCACTTTCGAGGATCCTTGATGATGCAGAAACCAGATCTTTTCTCCAGTTACCATAAGTTTCCTGCTAATGAGTTCAAACGTTGCCGTGTATGACGTTGGATGTTTAGAGAAACAATAATGGAAATTCGATTTTATCGTATTGAATGGTTAATTGTCGTTTTACGTTAATAAAGTCAGGTAATGTGCACCGCATTGCGTTGACATCTATTAGCGTATGTTTCTTTATTGCTTGACCGAGGATGCAAAATTCGGATAATTCAACTGTTTCGATTTTCAGGATTATGTACACAAGTATTACACAGTTCATTATCGTTTGAGAAATATTGTTCATTAATTTTATTGAGAACTCTTCAAAATTCGATTTTAATACATTTTACTTTTTAACACAAATTGTATGTACAGAGAGGAGAAGAAATGAATGAGGACCGAAGCTATGGAAAAGCTTTTTCCCTTTGAACGAAATTAACAATACGAGAAAATCATTGTGCTGAATTCAATTTATAAAATGTGACAGAGATTTTGAGAAACAGATTTCTGGTGCATCATATGCTCTTTCACCGATGAGTAATATACCTACTAAATAAACAGACTTTGTACGTCTGTCGAAATTGTACGCATTCCAAGAAACGTTATATGTGTAACGTTTCGTTTACGTACGTTCGCTAGCGATGTTAAAAACATAAAAGAGTGTAATGTAGGTCGCGCATTTGCAATTCTCTTTGCACACAATATTTATTTCGGGACCAGCTGAAAAAATAAAAACAGCAATCACTGAAATGGAAAATCTTGCGAACGGAAAGAACGTTTCTCTCTTCGGTTGACTCTGAAATTCTACAAAATTGCTTCTGGGATCACGTTCCCTGATGGAACACAAACACGTGTGTCGAAAGAACATTTGGAAACATCGGATTCCAGGCGGAACGAGTACGAAATCAACCCAAGCCGGATAATAAATTCGTTGAAATTAAATTCGAATATGGTTGTTAATTAGAATTTCTTATTACGTGAGCGGCAGCAGTAATAGTCTCGAAAAATGATTTTTCATACAGAGGAAGCTTTTTCTCGATATACGTTTATTAAGGGTAATGAATGCTTATTCTAAATAGTGAGGTATTTTTTAATCAGACATAGAACGAGTAATTTTAGCATTCATGTTGGAAGCGGACTCTCAGACAAATTGATGGAAGGATAAATAGAATGTACAAAAATGGGATTTGTTTTTAAAATTATGAGAGGCAGACCGTTTCTAAAATAAGAAATGAAATGTCTGAAA